TTTTTTCGTTATTATTAATTGTCAATTTATTTTCTTTTTTTCTTTCAATTACTATATCATTTCCTCATTCAACAAAATTTATTATAGGTACTGTAGCACCTTTCGGACTCACAGCAGCGATTCTTTCACCATGGGAAAATTCAGCATCCGATTGCGGTCTATCAATCGTCTGGTCGCATCTTGAGGCGGCTCGCAAACTAGCCGATAGTCTGCCGCTCTTTCGCAGAAATGCGGAAATCGTCTTAGAAGGTTGCAGAAATGATGAATTACTATCGGACGCCTTTCGTACTGAATTTCACATCAAGTTCTTATGGGGCAGCCGCGGTGCTACTGTCGCTCCGGAAGAACGTCATTTGAAGTTTATTCAAGTCTTAGACGCAATGTACGATAAGTGTGCGGCGAGCGAAGTGGCCGCTTAAAAAAATAAACCAAAGGATCTCAAAGATCTGAAGAATAGAGAGAGTCTGAAGACGTAATTCCCTATATGAGAGTTTATCTTCTTCCTCGAAATATCACCGTTACGGATTTTTTTTAGATTTTTATAGCTTCGAATACGTCGGCTAACATGATACAAGAAATTAAAACATCCCCTGCATTAATGAAGTGCCACTTTATTGCTACTACATATAATCTCGAATCGTAGAGTATATCTCTGAAATATCGAATGTTCTTCCTAAATCTAATGCTTGTTTTGAATCGTGTAAGCAACAGCATCCAAAGAATTGATCGAGAAAGGCTTGATTGAAGCCTACATACGTATCGTCAACTGTACTTAACTTTAATTGACAATGTAATTCTATAATATTATGTTGTAAGTGTTGTTCATATTTGTTCATACTTAATATACAAATTTAAAAAAGTATTTTTCGTGATTTTTTATTTTCATCAAGATACCTTCATTAACTTTCAGATAGATTTATAAAATATTACACTTGCAATATTTAGGGATCCATTAATTGAAATTAACATTTTAATTAAATTAAAATTAATAATTAAAAAAAATAATTAATAAAGTAGATTAAATTAATAATTAATAAAGCTTGAAGCTATACAATGTACAAAATGAGTCATAATAATTATCTTAATTATATTAATTTACAAAATACAAATGTAAAATTCAAATTAAATTAATCTCACGCCAAAATAATGTTTCTAAAAATAATTCTTTACTGGCTCCAAATATTTAACTTAATTTTTATTATTTTTTATTTTATTCAAAAGAAAGATATTATTAAAATAGTTATACATAATTTCCGAAAAATATATATAAACATTTCTAACATTTCATAAATAAAAATTTTCTAATTTTCGTTTTTAAATTATCCAAATAAGTAAGAATAAATAGTTTATTGTACAAGTAACATATATAAAAATATTAAGAAATATTGAATTACTCACCATTTCTCGTTGTCGCTCTATGCCTCCATATGTGTCTTCTTTCTTTTCCGCCAATTTTTCGTCGCAGTTTCTTTCATTCTTTATATAATTTGACACTTTCGAAAACATAAGTAATTATCACGCACAAACGTAAGTAATTATTAATCACAAAAATACGATAATCGCACGGCATTTTCTGGCACTCATGATGATACATAACTGATATAAAATCCTACAAAATATTCGAAATATTAGGTCTGTTCATATTGGATCATTCAGTACTACAACTGAGCGCTCAGTGCGCTCTTGCATCTGATTGAAATATTCGTTAGATCTAAAAATATAGACCAAATAGATATGGACTGTAACAGAAGCTCCTTAAAACATATACTACTGGAAAGAGGATAGGAGCAGAGAGAAATCTGAGAGAGGACATGACTAAAGCTCTAGATACCAAAATAGTGCATCCTTCATTTTGGATCTACTACTCTATACTAATAATACTAAGCGCTTATTGGACTAAATCGTAATGGCGATCGAAATAGCCAATAGGAAGGCTGTTGGCATTTCGGCTTAGACAAAGGAATGCGTTACTTTGGTATCTAGAGCTTTAGACATGATGATCTAAAATCTGTAACTGCAAAATGCTACCGTGTGACTACTACCTTCTGACAAAGTGGATGTAAACTACATAGCAAATATCGATTTATCATCTCCAGCCTTGAAAAGTGGAACGTTGCTCATGTCTTCTCTCAGGTTTTTCTCTGATATAAGCAACCTACAATCCTTGTATGAGGGTCGATTGTATCTCTAAAACTTAGTGTAAATACCGGTTGTTCCACTTTTTGATAAATTTTGATAAATTTTATCTGTGAGATAAAAATCTGGTAATTTATGCATGTAATTGGATAATCTTGCTTCTTATTCAACAGGCAAAATTTACCAAAAGATGGAACAACCAGCTCTAAATGATAAAAGTAAGCTCTCATTTGATTAGGTAGTTTTCATCATAGTGGAAATGCGACATTTCTCACGTGACATTGTCCGACAAGAAATTCTATATCGAATTGTATCAAAGCGTTAAAGCGTATCGAGATTGGTTGAAATTAGTTGAAATTTGTCAAAATCCGTTCAACTTAGACATAGGCTATGGTCAAAATTTCGCTACAAATGCTTTGAAGCGTTTGATGGACCAATTAAAAGAAAGAATTTTACAAACCAACCAGTTAAAAAACGTTTCAAAGCGTTTGCAGCATCGCGTTGATCGTACCCATAAATTATTAGTTTCCAGTAATGGACATTATTTTTATGCTTTGTGTAGAGGAAAATGACAACGAAAATAATAAAATTCGCAAGACATTTGAATTTAATAAGAAGATGATTACGGGATAATCACCCATTTAAAATCCCAGACAATACATTTAGAAAATTATATAGATCAGTATAAAAATAATATTAAATATATAAATATGTAAATTATTTAAATAACTAAGATAATGAAATATGGCATAGGTCGAAGAGCAAATCTTCATGTCTTATAATATTTTTTACGTAAATTTTAAAATTTCAAACAAAAATTATGAAATTACAAGATTATAAATTTAATAAAATTCACTTAAAAATATTATTGGATACTAAGATCCGCTTGATCGTATAAGTATTTTTATTATTAGTTATAGTTAGTTATTTGAATAATATATGGTTCATAAATATTCTACTGTTGAAATAAATTATATTCTGTTATAAATTATACACGTGTGTGTGCTTATATAGTGTGTGACATGCATCACAAAAATTACGTATCACTTTGATTATGCGTCACTTGCATTTCGCACTTACATTAGAGTACTATAATATAAATATTCGCATCCATCATTTTTAGTCCTTTCCCCACTCTTTGTTCTCTCTTTAACTTTCTCTCTTTAATCTTCTTAGTTTAGTGGTGGATGGAAAGAGAGCAAAGAATTGATTTCTGAAACATGGCGGACTAATCAATACGCGACTTTGACAAAAAAATATATAGCTTTGCAACTATTGTAAATTTTTTAAATATGATTAGTCTTGCCGTTAGTTTTTCACTAAATGCGTAACCAATCATATTAAAGAAATTTACTATAATTACAGAGCTGCTTTCTCTGCTGAGCTATTGACTGCATTATCGACGAGATATTATTAAAGACCGATATCTTTACGGGAGTTCATATCCTTGTAAATATTAAAATAATTAAGAGTTAAAAACTGATAATATTATACTAATTTTATGATTTATTAGTTTAGTAGATGTATTTATGCATTTAGAACTCAATAATACTTGATTTTTCTTTAAAATTGTAATTTTAGTCAAGTTTCCATCAATTTTATCGTCAAAGTTTGATTATTAACAGAGATGATAATTGCAGAAAAAAAAGAATTTTCAACAGAAAATATTAATCAGTTGCGGGATTCTTTAAACATTTTATCGACAATTATCGCTGTCGTTAACTAGTGAGCCAATGAGAGCCGCGCTTTCTTCCAGGATTATCCTGCCATTGGCTATCGCTAGTTAACGGTAGGTCAATAAGACGCTTAGCACCTTTGTTTTCTCTCTTTTCAGCGCTAAATATATATCTATCTCATTTTAAGTGTAAAAAGTATAAAAAAGTGTAAATAAGTCGAACCATTTCTCTACTGAACGCAGCCATTGTACCAGCATGTCCACTCTTAAACTTCTCTCTGATCAAAGGACGGCGCCACACAATCTCATTTTTTTGTTTATGATCATAATAGAGATCGAGTCATAGATTTCTATATATACTACTAGACTGCTAACTTGTTTGAAAAAGTGACTCCCAATTTTGATGTAACATTATACGCATGCGTTGAGAACCGCTCCGTGTGACGTATATCTACACATGCGCACAAAAAGCACATCAGCACACTATTTTGACGGATTAATCTATTTAATAATATTAAAACCACCAAATACTTATTTTCATAATCCTAAGCTATCATAAATTATTCTAAGAGACATAATAAAAGGAACAAAGAATAAGAATTTCAACCTATCAAAAATTGTGTATTCCACAATACATGATTTCTGATAGGTTAAAATTCTTATTCTCTGTTCTTTGTTCTCTGTTTCTTTCCTTTTCTTGTGCGGAGCCCCTAATTTATAAGACATTGAATAAGATCTTTTATACTCGTTTATTAATATTCAATTGTCTTTCCAATATCTTTACCTTTTTACTTGAACTCTTTCTTCCAAAAAAAACAAAATTTTTCGCTATGAAATCACACCACTTTCTCTTTCAAAAAAGAAACAAAATTTTTCGTTATGAGATTATATCACTTTCATAAGGTTATGAAGTATTCAGTATTCAGAACGTGCTTTTCTTGATAAAAGCGCGCTTTTATCTCTAAAATTCTATAGTATGCGTAACGTAAAATATATATAGCATGCGCACTAAATCGTTGTAAGAGCGTTCTGAATACAAGCCTATACGTTTAACATGTAAACAGTTGATGCAAAACAGCCATACTGGGGCGTTTTTTCGTTATCTAACCAGAAGCTACCACAACTCAAGGCTATCTTCGTCTTCAGGGATCAGAAGACGAAGATAGCCTTAATTGTGATAGCTTCTGGTTGTACAACGAAAAACGCCACTGCATTCCTTTGAGTATATTCGTGACGCATGCGCAGAACTACTCCAATTTCGGGGTTCATTTCACAGAAGCTTGTCCTAAAGAGTTAGCAATCTAGTAGTATCTATTGAAGTTTGTGGTAGGAGCAGAAGCGTGCGAGAGGATGCTCCGTAAGTAAGAGACACCAAGTGACACCCAGTGCAGGCAGGTTATTTCGCCGAAGCGAAATCCATTGGTAAACATGCAGCCGCGGCATTACCATCGTGAGTGACTGTCGTGATTATACCCGATTATAATGGCAGAGAACCTGTCGAAACGGCCTTCCAAAGGAATCCTCAAGACGTCCAGCAGTTTTGACAATCCGGAGGCGCCTAGGTGAAAGACGCATTAATTAAATTTCGATTGGCGTAAAAATAGAGATGCATGCAAAACCCGCTGTCGGCGTCTCCCGTTGACGTTAAAGGCGGTTCGCGTGACTTGCGTGTCACACGCGGCATATTCGTCCGGTATTTATAAATCACGAGTTCACGCAAACCGTGACAGACGTCTCGACAAAGAGAACAAATAATTATTGAACATTTCTCTCGAGATAATATGTGATCTCAATTTGATTTACTGTTTTTTACTCAATATTACCTCAAACATATCGTTCAGAATTCGCGATTATCTCTGTGAAAAATATTTTCCAAAAAATCCTCTTTTTTTTATCAGGATATAATCAGGATTAAAGTATGTATATTTTTCTGGAATTATTCAATTCAAAGTTAAAAACTTAGAAAGAAAAGTATAATATTGTTTGAATATTCCTAAGTTGTGAAGTAATGGGCATTACCCAGCGTTAGTTGACACAGATTCTATTTTTAGACCTAGTGATGAACATCATTTTTTTATTTATCTTACATTAATCATGTAGACCGAACAAAGAAACAACATGGGATGAAATGAATATTATTGCTACTCTTCATCCTGCTGATAAGGATTATGGCCATATGAAGATTGAAGAACCAAAAACCCCATATAATTTTGAAGGCCTCCAAAATGAACATGAGTTTGATCAATTAGATGCTAGTGCTCTTGCAGCAAAGTAAGTAGACATGATATACAATTATAATTTTAGTTATTAATACAAGATACATTGATTTACAATTATATGCTTCGATTATATTATTGTTAATAAAATTATATTTAATATTATCTATTTTATTATTAAAATTCAGATTAGCTGGAGGTAGTAAGCCCAAAATTTTTGAGGAATCCAGTGAAGAAGAGGAAGACGAAGAAACTCCCGAAGAAAAAGGTTAAACATCTTATAATGTAGAAATTAATTACTTTATAATATAAAAATTGTAATTATTGACGCATTCTATTTTAGAAAGGAGAAGAGCTTTCGAGGCAAAAAGAAAGGGCCATTACCGAGAGTGGCATGCTGTACAAATGGCGAGAAGACTTTTAGAACAAGAAGAATTAGAAGAGGAAGATGAAGATGGCGAGGGTAAAAATAATGAGGAAAATTCGTCAGAGGAAGAAAGCAATTTTGACACACGTTTCAAATGCATGCCGTCCTGTGATAGAACCGAAAAGAAATAAACGAAAAACATCGATTGATAATTTTCTTAAATCGTCGATCACAGTCATAATTTCGCAATGTTGACTTGACTGTTTAATGCTATCGCGACTAAAATATATCAAGCAGCAAAGAAAGTGTTTACATCAATTACATTAAAATGCCCAAGTTAAATTTCGCATTTTAATTATGTATATATAACTTTTTTCAACTCCATCTTTATAGCTCTTTAGCTCCATCCTCTGTAAATAAACATTTTAAAATGAATTTGAATGTTTAGCATAAACCTCTGTTAGATTTTCCAAGATTAGATAAAGTTACAATAACATTATGAGTACTTAAAAATACTAGTAAGCTATGCACAGAAAAATTCATCTTGTTTAATGATTTATTTTAGTTTCCATTATAAAAACTTAATTTAATTATTGCTTCGTATAGACTTTCCTCGTCATTCTTTCGCGAATTATTCCAGGCCTATCGACATTATTTCAACACAGCGTTCCTGTAAAATTTAATGTTTTTGAAAATTCTAATTACTATCAAAATTTGACGAACAATAAGGCTAAACAAAGCCCTCACATATAGAGAAAATTTAAGACGCTGTATGTATTTACATAAAGAGAGAAAAACATATGTATTTAAAACTATTAGTGTGTGTGTGTGTGTAATATATTACACAAGTTCTGTGATTAGCATAGATGTATGCTATGTAACCTCGGAATGTATGACTTCAAATTTTCGTTTCTTCTCATAATGTTTGATTTTATTTTCCAAACTGTCTGTAAAAGAAAATAGATTATATACACATACATAAGTATTCAGTTTGTACCAAGCGGATTATGTAGTATAAGTCTGTCCAAATTCATCAAGCTTATCTTAATTCATGCACTCACTCTTTATCTCAATTCTCAATTATTCTTTTTTCTTTAATGATATCTAACTAATTGATTGCAACGCATGAATACAACGAACACATGTCTATATGATAATCTATTCTCTTTCGTTACATCTTGTACATTTTATTCATCGAAATGATAGGGAGAAACATTTTGCTTGTAAATCATGTGTTGGACAGACTTAATTGTACTATTCAAGAAATGTACATTTAGAAAATTGTAATCTCAAATATAGACGTCCAATCGCGGCGACATAGTATTAGAAAAAAAATTTTGAAATTACGTATATATGATCGTCAAAATATTTTGAATGTCTGTATCATAGTCTAATACAAAGTATATTAATAGACTTAAAACAGTGTATTTGTATGCAATGTCTTGAAATTAATAAATATATGAGCTACATTATGAATAAATAACGTAAAGTGAAAAAGAAAACGTTTTTTTAACAACATACTAAAAGTTGGAAATTAAATCTTGACTTTATCGATGAATTTACATTCACTAGTTTTATTGATCGTATACTTACCACACATTTCTCGCTTCATCAGTGGTTGATATATTTTTGATTGTACTCCAAGAAGTAGACAATCGCTTTGAAAATCACTATTTACACAGTTAATGAAATTTTCCAATTTCATCAACATATTTTTAATCATTATAGATCTGTATACGACAAAAAAGGAATTTAATTATAAAACTGATCACGTGTACGATTATGTGAATTTCTCTTTTATTAAACATACTTTATAGTATTGAGAGCCCAATCCTGTTGTAATACTTTGATAGTGTTTAATAATTCATTTTCGTCCATAAACCAATTTATGCTTTCATAATCACAATACCAGAGATTCAATGGAACTTGATGAGCCATATTGTACTGTGGCTTCTGTGGGCAAGTCTCAATGTCTAGGAGCTTCAAGATTATTTCAGGCTCTTCTTTTCTTTGTCCAACCAACAACAAGATGCCCATTAAACAACGAATTTGATGCCAAAGAAAGGCTTGACTTGTGATTTCTAATTCACACATATCATAGCCTTGAAAATAAAATAGAATTTACTGTACATTATATGTCAATAGTAAATATTAAACAGCTGAAAAAATTTAAGATACCTGTTGATTTTTCCACATTCTGATTAAGAGAACTCACTCTTGCATCCATTACAGTTCTTTTAAAATTAATTACACCATTAGCTACATCCATTTTACAAATATTACGGAAATCATGATTTCCTATGACATACTTGGCAGCTTTGTCCATGGCCTCTATATTTAAATTACCCCTTGGAAAGAAATATCTATAGCTTCTAAACTTGCAGTCAAATCTTGCGGAGAAAGTGGATGAGACCGGACACCATGCTATACATCTTATGTTTGCTGGTAGTAATCTGTTCAATATTTTACAATATGGCAACTCATCGGATAGGTTGTCTTGATTTTCTGGTTCTAATCTACTGCGTACATCCAATGAGATTACTTGAGAGAAGGAGCTAACACCTTTATCGGTTCGTCCACAACGATGGTAATTTGAATTCTCACGGGATTCTATGCAGCAACTTTTTAGCAGAGCTGCGAATAAATGATGCTCAATGGTATCAGTATTATCTTCCTGTACAGCAAAACCGTGATAGTCCCAACCAAGATAATAAAACTTTAGCAGAATGTGCCGTTTGTAACATCTGCGATTGAAATTATAGATTATCACTCGAATGAAAAAAAAATCGTGACAAGTTCAAGAGCAACGTATTTACCGTGAAAAATCAAATGACTTTCTTACTTTCCCTGATGTCTCTTCTTTCTTCATTTTAGTATCCGTACGTTTTATAATTGTTAGTTTCAGTTGCTCGTTGTGAGCTTCCAATTGTAATATCTTATCGATCAGTTCCTGCAAGCCGGATCACGTTGAGATTATAAATAATATATTAAATAAATATACGATATAAAATATAAATACACATGGAACATTTTTCAAAACGCGTTTATAAACGTCATACCGATTTATCGAGCATTTCCAACTGCTCTCTCGTGCTTCTTGTTGTCTTAATACGTTTCCACGAAACCTTTGCCATAATCGTGTTTCTGCATCAAGAATAAACTACAGTAAACACAGAAGAATATTCACAGATCTTTCATCTGTCGAATAATAATTATTACAAACGTCAAAAGTAGAGGTTATGTTATACTACATGTGTGCAGTACTCTCAACAGTGCATCATGTGACTCTCCTGCTAAAAGATAATTGCACTGCTTTTTGCACTTAAAAATAAGATATACAATTGGATGTCGGATAGAAAAAGAGGGAAGATGAACGGCACAGAGAGTGCAGCTGAAAAAATAATAGTTGTATTATATTTTCTGTATTAAAATGAGATAGATGTAATTAGATGTTAGGGAAAAAAAGAAAAAGATTGAAAATGTAAATTTATTAATTGCGTCCTCACGGGAATGAACGATGGAGAGGTCTAGTCTATATTCATGTTTAAAAAAGTTTAATATATTACAAAGAATAAATTCATAGAATTACATGGATATGACTTGCGCTGTGAGAAGCGATGTGACGGCCAATCATCTGTTTTTACGTTCTACCTTGAAAAGCGGATGATTAAATGGCCACCGCGGGAAACAATAAAATCGAATGTCGCCCATCGAACGATTTTTGCAATCAAATGTTATTTCAACAGAAATACTTTGATTCATGTGCATTAAATCCTAAATCGTTGTACGTCTTCCGTTTTGTTTCAATTTTTCACATACATCATAAAACTATACAGAAAAATAAATTGTGTTAAATTGCGTTTTGTTTATTCATGATGAATCGCGATCTCCTGTTGTATTCTCCTATTGAAAGCGGAATTATTTTTTAATTGTTAGTTTATATGCAGAAAGACTTGTTTACAATGAAATGTCGAGAAAAATTCAAGTAATATACATATATGCGGCGTATTTTAAATAGCATATTTATGTATATATTAATATATAATTTATAAATATTAATATAATACACATATGTAATTGCTTGTTTTTTTTGTCACGGTCAAATTAAAAAAGTAAATAATTTATTGAATGACAGTCACTTTATTGAGAGTAGACAGCGGTGAACATTAAGATTCGCCTTGCGCAGCAATTACCTCGATAGACTTTAGATAGTAAGATATCACACGTGCCCGGTAACTTGTAAGAATCCTATCTTTATCCGCCGGCATGCTATCAATCTCTCACATTACGACGAGCCTCGATCGTCACGTAAGTGCACTCGTAAACTATTTTACTCTTCTACTGCAAAAAATAGGCGAGCTAAAAGGACGGGAACGCGACCTGCGACATTGTGTTCACGATTTCATTCACACAAAATGAGCTCTCTCTCTCTCTCTCTCTCTCTCTCTCTCTCTCTCTCTCTCTCTCTCTCCACAATCCCTTTAAATTTACTTATTTTTTGCAGAGTTCTTTTCCTTCGAAATGGAGGTACGATGGATATTTTAAACGCGTGATAATTGACGATACATGCATTGTCTCTTGCGAAAATATATGTACAGGTAGAGAGATGTAAATAGTAATAATATATAAAAGTCGATAACAATGTTAACAAATGTTAATCACCTCCCTCAGAATAATCGTTACTTCTCGCTAGTAAATGTGCTTGCTGATAATAAAATACCTTTTAGGCATTTTCCTATAATCCTTGAATTAAAAGAAATCGGCGGGAATAGAGTTTCCGAAATCGCATCCAATCCTTGTTAACTCCATTTCTGATCTTATTAGAAATTTAACTGCTCGAATTACATTATTTGATCGAGAGAATCGGAAAAAGAAACTTTTCTCTTTACGAAAAGAGGTCGAAAGACTCGTCGAAAGAGAACTACGAAGTTTTAGCGCCAATCTTCCGGTTTCGAAATCTGGCAATCGGATTTTACAGAATGAATTCCAGTCGATCACTTTTAATTCGCCCATTTTTCACAAAGATACATTCGTATATGTTACACCGATGTATGTATCTCGAAGAAAGAGCGCTTCGTAACTCTTATTTTATAATCACACTTACTTTATAATCGCCTTCGGCTTCGCTGTACGCACGCATACATTAGTCGCATATATGTATATATATATTGCTGTCAGGTTTTTTTTCTCTCTTTATTTTGCTCTTCGCGACGATTGGTAAAAAACTTTTGGCATGGCTTGCGACACCACTGGCTTACATAATTATTACGGGATATTAAGAGCATGCTCTAACAGTAGGAATACGAGTATAAATGCGTCGAATGTTTCGTCATGCGACCGGTATTGACCGGAAATAAAATTATCCTTAATTTATCTGAATATATTGCATCGCCTTGTTTAGAGCGTCGTTTCATCTATTAAAAGTTCAAACGACGCAAGACCGTTATGAATTGAGAGTCGCGATGTCGCCTTTGATGTATTTGAAATCGTTGTGTCTCTCTATATTTAAACGCGAGCTGCACGACGAAATTTCCGTGCCATAAAACGGGGTACTGTTACACGAGAACAATTGCGCGTCACATTAAAAAAAAAGAGGGGAAAAAAAAGATTTTATTCTTTTCTTCTTAGACTTTCTCTGGTTAACTTTGGTCATGAATTGTGAATTACACGTCACAAGTTACGTTGACTTAGGCCGCGTCATCTGAGACCCTCACAACTTAGGAAACTTAAGAATCTCACGGAAATACTCAGTGAGCTCTACTTTTAATGAGTTCACTTGCAAGTTGAAATAACGAAAACTCAATTTCATTCGCATAAAGGAGCAGTGTATCTATTTTACCTTTCAACACATTTTTCCTCCGTGATTCGCATTCGCATGATAAAGTCACCCCGTCTTAGAGCAAGAGAGATGTATAAATTCGATTTACCTTGAATCGAAAATCTCCTCATCGTGATTCGCGTGGAATGGAATCATATTTCTTTATTACTCCTCGTAGAAATGAAAGGATATGAGGCAATTGACAATGCATGCATTGATTCGATTCGATTCGATAATTATCAGTTCTAGGGATATACCCGAAGGCATTTTATTAACATGCTCCGCTATACTTCTCGAGGTATTTTTGAACACAGCACCCTAGCGGAGAACGAAATATACTTGGTGAACGTTCACATAATTACCCCCTAGAATTGGCTAGACGTGCCAAGTTAGACGTGTATATGTGTCTGTGTATTCATCTGTGTACGTATGTGTATGTAGGAAATATTCAATGAATATACATTACTTTGTAACATATATTTACAAACACATAATTATTTATTTTAGAAATGTACGCGAGGGAAAACTTACTTTTAGTATTTGTAAAATACCGCTTCTGCCGCCTTCCGGCCTGAGATTTGGCGAGCCTCGTGAAAACGGGCGCTCGAAGGAGAGAACGGACACACTCCTAATTAACATATTCTCGATATCTCTGCTTTAACAGTCCTTATAGATTGTATATTTACACACATACACACTTTCTCTCTCTCTCTCTCTCTCTCTCTCTCTCTCTCTCTCTCTCTCTCTCTCT